GTAGTGCATGGCTCCCTGACCAACCCCTTCCACTCCATGAATCTGTGTGAATCTGACTGACCACAATCCCCATTCCCCATCCCCCTGTGCTGCTGGTGGTGAATAGGTAGAGAAATCAGGGGCAAAGCTGCACCCACAAAGGAAGGGGTGGGGGGAAGTGTCTTTCAGAACTGTTTCATCTCTTATTATCCTACTCTGATTTGATTAGTAACAAATCAGATTGATTTTTCTTCCCAAAGTTGAGTGTTTTGCCCATGACCATAATGGGCGAGTGATCCCTCCCTGTCTCAACCTACAGGCCTTTCCTTGTATTTTCTCCTCCCCATCCCCCTGGGGGAGGAGTGGGCAAGCAGCTGAGTGGTGCTAAATTTCCAGCTGGGCCTAAGCCACAAAGCTGGTCCAGAATCTGTCACTGCAGTTCATCTCCACCAGTCAGGGAAGGTATGAGTCACTCTCCTCCCATATGCAGCTGGGTTTTCAAATATACAGCTGGTAGAAACTTCCCTTTTTCACAAGGTGTTGATCAACCTCCCCAAACTGCGGTACTTCCTGTCTTGATATAGAAGCAGCAACTATCTGAACTGCTCATCAGCAGTCTTATCACAAAGCTCAGTTAAACAAGTCATCCCTTCACCCCTATTCCTTATCTAAAGATATTTGTTACACCTTTCAGTTTGCTGGATGACAGCTTGAACTTCTCAGACTCCTTCACCTTTCTTCCTCTCACCTCCTTCTGAAGCTCTTCTCAGCCAGCTTGGACATGAGGACAGCTGTTACTGCTAAGGGCAGACCCAGATCACAAGCGGTTGGAGAGAAGTGTCATTAAGCTGTTTAAAGGATGGGACAGTTACATCAGTCTGACCACTCAGATGCTCCCATCCCGTGTACTACCTTTCTGTCTGTGGTGCTTCAGAATATTTCTGGTGAGTGGAAACAGGTTTTCCCTTTCCTCCTGTTAAGCGCTGCAAATGACCACTGCAAACCCAGGGACACCCAGCAAGAGAAAGCAGTGCCTACTGCAAGAGAGACAATTCTCTACATCAATAGCTCTTCTTCCTAGGAAAAACTGCAGCTCAGCTCACTGAGATCATCTATATCAGGCCAGACAGATGGAAGCTGCATGATCTTTCTTCTCATGATGTCTAGCTCTTCCCCTTTTAATTACTTCACTTCCCCTTTTCCTTCCCTTCAAATCAAGGCAACCTGACCTGGTTCTCACTAATGAGATTGGCCTTGGCTGCTGCCATAAGCCTCATCAGTTACTGAACCCCTGAGTTCCCACCCATACCCCTCCCACACACTGCTGGCTCCACATGCACAGAGGAGGCAGAGAGCTGTGTATGTTGTCCTACCCTGGGCCCATCTGGCCCCTTAGCTACTAGGCCAGACAGCGCACCTAGGGTCACTTCTGCAAGAATCCCAGGCAGTGCCTCTTTCTCCACCCCAGGACCCCACCATAAGCAGAGAGAGGGCCTGAACTAGATGTCCCCAATCACAGCTGCATAGGGAAGCTGCATCTGCTCTTCCTCTTGCTTGTGTAAGAGTGGAAGTCTTACAAAAAGCTCTGGTTTCAAGAAGTAAGGCATTTCAGTTAAAAACTCAGGCATTCTTTAGGTATTTCAGAAAGTAATTGGAGAAAGTGGGAATATTACGCAAACAATAGCACAGCTCTGGAGAGCACACACCCAGAGGCAGCCTGTTCACAGGTTTAACTGGCAGAGCAGCCCAAAGGGGAAATACAGGCACCTGCAGCTGATTGCCCTTCTGCACTTGGCAGAGGAAAACTGAAAGCAGCAAGCTAAAACGGCTACAAACACTTAGGCAGGCTTTCAACATCCTCACCATCTTCATCCATTTAAGGCCTGTCAGGACTCAGTGCTGTGCGGACAACTGCCCCAAGAAATCGCTGCTCTTGCTTTCTGGGCTCCCACTGCTTCCCAGCTCAGCTAGCCTGGTGTCAGAAGGCACCACCCCACAGCAGGAGCATTCAAAGCCCATGCACCAAAGCCACAGACCACTGCCAGAAAGCAGCAGAGCTGTCAGTCTCCCCTTCACACGGGCTTACTGAACAGGAAGCTGGGGAAAGCTGAACACCAGAGGCAAGAGCATAGGTCTTTGATTTCAGTCTGAATGAATTGTGCAGGCTTCTTCCACTGCTGGTCATCTACCCTGACCCTCTGTCCAACACACAAGCTATATCCTTCCCCCAGCATTTATTACATCTAGCCTGCACAGGAAAATTGGCTCAAAAAGCCAGGAGAGGGTTCTCGCCCCTCCAGTCACTTCCGATTCTGAAACTAAGGCATAGTCCATAGCCCCAGGCAAGTCGCTGCATGCAATCACACCCGCCTGTTTGCTGCAAACAATAGCTAGCAAGTAGGGCAATTCCCACAAGACCACTGCTCTCCTTCCTCAAGGCACGTAGAGCCAAGCTGCCAAGAACTGTGTGAACTGGGCCAAGAGAGACCTTGCCCTGACTCTTGCGCGTTTAAGTGCTTGCGATCCACTAGATTTAAGTGAGCACCAACATCCAACTCAAAGCAAAACGCCATTTGCAATATTTGTGACATTCCACTGTTCCTAAAAAACCCCACTCCAGTTTCAGTTGCCAACAGATATAGGGAAACAGATGTCGCATCAACATCCTCCCAGCAGTACTGGGCAATTCCAGCCTGAAGGGGCATTCCTCTAGCAACACCCTTGGGGATAGCAAAGCAGCAGCCTTCCTGCCAGAGACAGCTACCGCAGCTGTAAAAGGCTATTTCAGCACACTTTCATTTGCCAAGGGTGGGCAAGGCTTCTGACACTGAAAAGGAGTAGATACTCCAACAAAAACTCATCAAGTGAATCTGTTCAGTAGATACTGATCAAGAAAAGGGCAGAGAGGAGTACAACAATAATCCTGTCCACTCTCCTGCAGTGCACAAAAATACTTCAGTTGCAAGAAGTGGAGGTGCGAGTATCACCTTGCTACTCCCTGGATCCAAGATCCTTTTCTTGACTCTTGTTATTCCTTGTTTTATATCTAACAAAGTTTCTCAAGTCAGAAAAAAATAAATGCAAATAAGACAATAGACCTATCTTGGGACTGGATCTTGAGCAGTTTTCAGTTTGCTTCACTGTGCTCCGAGCTGCCCTGGGATGACGTACGTCAAGTGAAGCAGAGCGACACGCATAGCGTTACTGAAGCATGGTCACAAACCAGCGTGGGGGAGGTTTCAGCCAAGACCTTCCCAAAACAGGTTTTCTTAGTGCTCTAGGCAGGTAATTCCAAGGACCCCTGAAATAGAAGGGCTCTAGAAGAGTTTTTTTTCCTCCATGAGTTTTGTTCACTGAGGACTGAACAGGAACATCTGTTCAAAGCCCAGCTTCCCCTACCACTCTAAAACTGATGATCTCAGCCACACCGGCTCCAAGGGCTGTGCAGAATAACCCCCCGCGCTTTTGTTCTCCCCCTGGTCTGACCAAGGTTCAAATGAGGAGCTACAGCACAAAAACTGGAGTTTTCTAGAGCAGAGTGACAGCTGGAGAAGAAATGCCAACAGAGGTATGGAATTTCATGGTCCAAAAAGTCATATTTCCCCATCAGAGGGGAATGCCCACCCTCACACTTCCTCCTCTGCATTAGTCAGAGCTCTTTGTTCAGAATCAAGCAGCTTATTTAAAACTGAAATTTTACATGCCAGTTAGCCAATGTTTCAGTTTCTCCTTCAGCTCCAGCCAGCCCGGAGACCAAGCTACATTCACACCACATTTGGCAAGGAACCCAGCCAACAGCTGCTCACAGGCACCACCAACACTTGTACAAAGCTCATAGCAGCTATGCTGAGGAAAGGCGCCTTCCCCCCACCCCCCAAACTACACCAGCAGGCCCCATCCATAACTTCCTCAACCACCTGCCTTCTGTAACCTCCTGGCAGGAGGGCTGGCTTAGGAGAAGCAGACACAGCCGTGCCATGGTGTAGTTATACGGTTACATGGCAGAGGTGAGGGCTACCCAAAACTGGTACGAGAAACCTGCATACCAGGACAGAAGCCAGCAGGGACCCCACAGCTATAGTCTGCTCCCACTGAGTGGATGTGGCTCCCAGTTTAGCTTCCAAGCAGCTGGAAGACTGATCAGGCACTGGCCTGGCCAGGAAACCTATAGCCAGGACAGCCTGTTGCAACTCACTAAAGTAGCAATAAAGTTATTCCCTTCACACTACAAAGTGTATCAGAGCTCTAGAAGCATATACTGTGAATCTGCACTCCTGACAAAGAGATCCACTTCAAAATGTCACAGCACTTGGCTTTAAGCTCAAACTGTAGTACAGGAACTGTCACATGCCCAGGTTTGCTGTTGAGGAAAGAGGATGGCTCTTCCAAGGAGAGTTTTACATACAGATGCAGAAGGACTGAACAAATGGAACAACATGACACAAAGAGGAAGGCCAGTGATGATCAAGGCCCCAGTGATGGCAACATGGTAAATCACTGCTACTACCTGCCCAAACAGTAGTCTGCTGGAGGATCAAGATGAAATGCGGTCAAAAGCCTTTCAGGAATTTCTTTTCACTGTTCCCACTACTCAAAAATAAAGCCTGCATACCAAACAGTTTCATAATCCTTGAGAAAGTAGCACTGAGGCTGGCAAATACAGAAGCAGCAAACTGTACAGGCAAAGCTGCTGAGGTGGGGTAGAGGAAAGGAGAATCCAGTTATGCCTACTAACAGTACAGCTCAGTTTAGAAGGAAGAATTTCCAGGTGTCTCCTGTTCCCCTAAACCAAGACCAAGGAAAACATGCACAGCAAGAAACACTTACTGTTTCTTTCTGGAAGTAGATGACCAGGCCAGCAGCAACCTGAGTTATGAGGATGACCATTAGGCAAGTGAAGTACTGGAAACAAAGAGAATAGATGACCATTATCAGCATTTAGAAGGATCTGTACATAATAGCACAAGTTTTAATAAGGTTTCATATACAGGAAAAGTCACAACATTGAGCCAACACATTTGCCTCCAGACAAGTTCTATCAACAATGCTCTCCCCAGTAAAAGGGCTTGAGTAGAACCACCTACATCAAACCAATGCACTTCAGCAGTTCTTCCGTCAGGCCAACAGGAAGATTTTGGGAGGGAGTGGGTTTGCAAGCACCCTGTGCATTTGTCATTCCAGCTGGGACTCCCTCTCCACTGCCAGCCTCCATTCCCAGTTCACTCCGGCCTCAATCAGTTCAACTTTGACCACCCCAAGCCTCCACAGCAAAAAAAGTCAATTTTACAAACCTAATTTTTAAAGTCAATTACCTTTGTAAAAAATGCTATTTAATCTGAAGGTCTAAATTTAAGAGTCAACAGTAAACTGCTTTTAAGGCAACTCTGACATCTGAGGTTACTTTTAAATGGTGGCAGCTACAACCATTACATCAGGAGATGTTCCTAATGCCAAAACACAGTGTGGCCACACTTGGTTTGCTACACATCCTCTGAATAAGCAGGGTTCAAGTAGCAGGCTGAGGTGTATGAAGCTAGTGTCACCTCATCCATCACAAACAGAAAGTGTCCTATAGATGAACCGTTTGAAGAGAGATCCTGACATGCAGGACTTTTAGTCGAGTCTCTCTTGACTCTTGGACTTTCCACAGAAGCTTTGTAGCACAGCAGGACCCTGTCACTCTTCCTCTTCTCTCTCGCTGTCCTTGATACTTGTCCTTGCACCGTTGAGAGCACAATGCTCACTGGGAAGTCGGGGTGGGGGAGGAGGTACAGGGTCACCCGAGACATGCCTCCTCAGTTTGTAGTCCTCAACCCACTCTTTACAGAAAAAGCATCAGTGACATTCTCTCCCATTCTGCAGAGTTATTAGCTCATCATCAGTAATTTCTGAGGAACCGCTGCTGCAGCCTACTGACTGCCAGAGAGTTTAATGTGTGCAAATTAAGAACCGGATCTAAGCTGACCTATCAGAATATCGTCCCCAGGAGACCTGAGCCCCAGCCACAATCCAACAGACATTTTGCAGGATAGGTATTAAAGGGTGGATCTAAATCATAGCATGAATTCTCTCACCAGACCCAAGAGACATCGGATTTCATTGACTGCTCCAAGACAGCCCAAGAACCCCATCAGCATGGTGAGAGCCCCAACGCCGATGAGGACGTACGCACCAGTCTTCAGGGAGGGAGATGACATCTCTGTAGGGTCAGGAGAGAAAACAAAATTAACTACTGACGAAAGCTACATCTGTCATCACCATTTAGATAACTACCTCTGTATCTACTTATACTAGTCTGTCTCCCTCTACAACATGACTGTACAGAGGTGTGTTGAACACGGGGACAGAAGGCTCCTTCTGGGTGTCTACTGGTGAAGAAAGGCTTCCAAAGCCAACCTGCAGGTCTCCATTACTGCAGAGTCTGGAACACTCAAGGTCACTCCAAACAAGTTAATATTGTTTAGAGAGAAGTTAGCCACTGACTGGACTTTTAACTGCCTCATGAGTGCACTCTGAGTGAGAGTAAGATAAAGGATGTTTTACTCCACAACTACTGCCCATTTGCTTCAATTCTCTTTGTTATCTTCAAGAAAGCGTTGGGGTTTTTTTTTGGGGGGGTGGGGGGTGTGTTCCCCCAAAGTCCTAAAAACCCTTTTTGATTTGGCTTTAATGCACTATTCCTTGTTCCAGTCATTCTGGTTTTTACTTATCCGCTTGCAGTCAACAGCGGGACACACAAACTCTGTAGAGTGAAACATGATGCAAGAGCTACAGCTAGTGTTGAGCATAGATGATAGATGTTATAACAGGTTACTTGACAAGTCGGTGTTGAATAGCTTGTGGCCAGGCACTCACTACAGGCTGCTGCAGCACCTGTGTATGACCGCCTGCAAATAGATGCTATTTCAGGATCAAAACAGGATCTTAAACTTGTGAGCTGTGCAGTGTAGGGGGATTCTAGATATCCAGCGATTAATGAAAATAATGTTCCTAGAGCTCAGCATTTCATTTCCTGGACAGAACTCCCAGGAGGCAAGTTTCCTCTGAGGTCCTCCTGAAATAGGTTAAGGGAGAATAACCAAATCCAGACTAATACTCTCCCCCTTAACACACCCCACTTCCAGTGCAAGTCACCAGCTTCCAAACTTTACCCCTACAACATGCCAAACAGAGGCAAAAAGATCAGTTATCCAAAAAAATGAACCAGAGCTATTTGCCACACAGGTCCCTTCAGACACGTCAACCTTGATTCATCTCCAGACCAGACTCTCCCTGGCTGGGCATATGCCCCAGAAACCAGGATCTTTCTTTCCTGCATCACCAGGTTAGGCGCCGATACTGCGAAGCATTCGCTGAAGATGCTGCCTTACAGGAGTTGCCTTCACAAGGCTACACCGTTCCCTTGCCCAAAATCTGCTCAGCCATCATACAAGCGTTGAAGTGCCCAGGTTGCAGCACCTCCACAGTGTTAGAAAGCAGCTGCTTGGACAGCTTCTCATTAGAAGAACGAACAAGGTATTTCCAACCCAAAAGCCCCTGAAGAAGTGACATCAGCAGGGGGGCAGGAGTCATGCTGGCACTTCTCATCTGCACACATCTTGTCTCGCAAGGAAAGTCCTGCTGGCAAGACAACTCCTGCTCTGTCTGCTGTTGATCCATGTTTTCCCCTGCGCTGGGCAGGCAGCCAAGCAAGTACAACAGGCTCCTTTGGCAGCAGCTGGAGTGCCTGCTGTGCTGGGCTCCCTCCCTGATGCCTGGGTTACTAAAGCAGAGGGAGACAGGGGCAAGGCATGGGAAAGGAAGCGAGGGGGCAGGGAGAAAGAGCTGATGCTGGAAATCACCAGGAAGGAAGCTAACTCCTTAAATGCTCTGTTAGCAGAGATTCTGGGTAAAATGGGATGAAGTTGTGCTAAACCCAGGGACTTCATACCTCCCCAGGTGGCAGCAATACCTGTCAGCCTGGCCCACTGGTACTAAATACACCTCAGACTGTGAGGGGTGCTGCAAATAAATAGCCAGGTCCTGGGTAAACTCCTTTTCAGCTGCCTGAATTAAGTGTTTTTCTGCTTACACCCCACTTTATTAACCAGCACCCCTTCTTGTCCTTCTCACCCTTTAGTACTGCAGTAGCAAGCCAGGTGTCACAGCACAACAAACAGGGCAAGCAGCAGTACCTGTGCATAGGGTATTAGTGGGGGTGTTGTCTCCACCCAGCACCTTCCAAAGCCAGGCCAAAGCATCCTGCAGGACTTGGGAGATAAAGCCCTTGGCAGGATCATAGCTAGGAACAGGGCTATGAATGCCATTACTGTTTATTCCCTGGGGCTGCAAGCAGTGCCATGCAGCCCTCCTGCAGCATCTGTTCCTGGTGCCAGAGTCAGCAACACTGGAGGTAGTGGCAGTGAGTAGCCAGACTCACTAAGCAGAAAAGCTGTTCGAAGGACCCTCTAAGAAAATGCACAAAGGAAGCAGAGTTTGTGAAAGATGGAGCTGAGCTACTCATTTGGTGAGAATCCACTTAGAGCCCTACAAGCTCAGTTTTTTGTTGAAGCAGAAAGTAGACCCTCTGTTGAGGCTCACGTTGGTGCTCTTGGCTGACTTAACGGGAAAGGAAGCTAGCCCCTTGCATGTGCAATGACACAAAACACCTCTGATGGCCAGGCTAAATCTTATCCAATGTGTTTTAAAAGTCCGAGCATTAAAGACTTCACAGCCCCACACCCTCCACCCACCTCAGATCTGCATTCTCTACTGCTTAAGAACAAACATACTGAATATTTCCAGTGCACGTGAAGCATCAGTAAAGCCAGATACCCCTTTTCTTTGGCATTTAGAACAGCTGAATTGAAACAGATCTTTACAGAAAGCAGTGAGAACATAAGAGACTCACATAGTAAGACCGCATTAAGGCACTGGGGGCATTTGGACAGGATGGTAATGAGAAAGCTGTTGCTGAAACACACAGCATAGAGTGAAAACAGGATGCAATACTAGTCCCTAGGTTTAGGATGAAGTATTTAGATTGTTGGGTGAAGAGGCAGTGTCTCACTCGGTGACTCTGGCGTTGCAATCCACAGGACTAGGAGGAATGCTGTGTCTCCAGGATTGCTCCCTTTCACCCTGTCCTTGAAAATACCATCTTGCTATACACCACGTTATCGCTCAGGTCACAGACCATGCATAAAAGCACTGCCATCCCCATGCTACCCCATGGTGAAGTGCAGCCCTGGACTTGAATCTATTCAGAAAGGAAAAAGACAAAGAAACACAGTCTTACGTAGAACGGCAATGAAACTGGTTTTGTCAGCTAGAATCCATATTCCAAAACCCAGGATCACAGCACCCAGGATCTGAAAGAACAAGAACAAAATACACAACTGGTCTATTAGTTTAGACAAATAAGAAGAGGCAGTCCCCATTCTCCATACTTCCAGAGTGAAGCCAACCATTCTTTTGCTGTTCCCACCCATCTCCCCCATGGTACTCCTCCCAAAGTAAACAGGATTAGCACGACTCCAGGAAGAGAGCCTCAGCCAACTACACAGGAGACCCAGGTTCTGCTTGGCAGTCCTTCACACAGTATTTTAGTAGTACTTGATGTTGTATGGAGGACCATTCAAATCAGCCTGAGGAAGAGACCTCCTGCTGCTAGAACCCTGTTGTCAGAAGCACGAGATAAGTGCACAGCTTCTGTGAAGAACTGAGGAAGGATAAACATTTAGCATATGATTTTAAAGATATTTTGAATAGAGAAATCCTTGACCCTATGGGACCAGGCTGGGAGCCAGCTGCCGAAGGATTAGATATCTAGGCAGCTGGAACCTTCACAGGAAGGAAATCTTCAGTTTGTCAGCCTCTGTTATAATATTATGGCTTCAACCCACAGATGCAAAAGAGCAGCAGCATTCCCTTCGCATGCAGGTTCTCCAGTGAAATGCTTTGCCCCTCCCAAAGCCAGGTTTAGGCACTTGGCTCCTACTTCATACCAGAATACCCCAAGCCAACACATCTTACCACCAAGAGAGCGCCAAGCATGATGAAACCTCTGCCACATCTCCGCCTCTCTCACCACAGTCTTATCTGGGGCAAGGATTAGTGGGGCACTACGTCCCTGCAAGGGCTCAGCTGAACAGAGACACTGAATTGAGAAGGCAAGAGTCATAGCTTTCCCACCTCATTTTGAAAGCTGGGGGAGGGAGTATATTCTATTTTAGCTTCCAGATACCACCATACAGCATGGAGGTGTTTGTATGTAGATGACCCCAGCTCCCAGATTAGTATCAGAACACCATTATACCCATAATAAAAGTAACTATACTGAGAAGACTGCAATTCTGTAGGTTAGCTAAGAAGCTGAAACTTGTGTCATTCACCCAACTAGAAGTGGCAAAGGCTGGAAACCCCTTGTTGTGGAAAGATCTAAAACAGACTTTGAAGAAACACGGGAAGGACTAGGAGTGCAAGTGATATGCTCCTAGAGGACATGGTGGCAGTTCTTACACCAGCAGGATTTTGAGACAGGATGCAGTGAAATACTGACTAAACCAACAGGACTGAAGAGATACTGCAGTTCTGTGATTCATTAGAGAATGTTCAGGTGTTTGGGACACAAGGAAAATGCCACACTACCACCTGAAGCAAGCTAACGGAAAGGGCTATACACACAGGCACTGGCTCCATATTTTGAAAGTTTAGACTACGCTTCAACTTCTCCCACAAAGAAGCTTTTCTGAGCAAAGATAAAGCAACAGTCTGAAATAAGCTGCTTGCAAGATCTCCTGGCTTGGCAGGGAGGACAACATGTAGTTAGCTCTGGGGACAGGATCAGAAAGTCACCAAGCAAGTTCCCATCTATGAAGAGACGACTGACTCAGCTACAGAAAGCATGTAGTTGCTGTGTCCCAGAAAAGAAAAAAGGTGAAGAGACAAGATGGCAGTAACAAGAATTCTCCCTTGCCTTATGTCTCAACATGCTGCACTACAGCACTCCGTCTGCTGAGCACACTAGAAAGGCCCCTCGAACGTGCAACAGCTGTGGTGCCTACAAAATTCCTCTCAAACTTGGTATTGCCAAGAACTGCTGAATTTACAGTTTGAGGCAGTTTCACATTTAAACTGTAGTCTTAATAAACCATTTGTCTTAAAGATGCAAACCGGGCTCTATGTGACATCTCTTGGCTTGCTGACCCTGAAATGTCACCTCAGTTTTGCTGTTGCTGACAAAACACCGAACAGCTGCTGAGCGGAGCTCCTGGGAAGTTATTTGTTGTGAGGTGCTCAGACTATCCAAGGCCTGTTTTCACTCTGATCTTTGCTCTAGTCCACAGCTAGTGCGTTTGCCAGGAGCTGCTGTGGAAAACACCATAAGGGGAGGGCAGGGAGAAAACACTGTCCTAGTAACAACAGTGTGTTTACCTCCTAGCAGCATAGTATCTCTGCTCAGCATCTCCAGGCATCTGCACAGCACAGCAAGGCTGCTTCTGCCACTGGCTTGGCTTCAGACCCTCCACAGAACAAATTACCATCTGCCTTCCAGAGTTTAATTCCTCTGCTCCACTGCCTTTAACTCCTGAAGTGGAGACAATGTGTCCACGCTGGGGGTGGAGATTTCACCAAGATCTGGGTGGAGAATGGATAGAAAG